ATCGACCAACGAATCTCTTCTTCATGCACTTTCATACCAAATGAATGTCCCTCTAACAATGTTATCTCAGGAGATTAATCGAAACCCAGTTTTTTTTCGTATCTATACAGCTAACTTGTTCCGCTATTTTTATTATGCCTGTGTCAACGCTATCAAGGTTATCATGGAGAAAACCAGGAAAGTACACATTTACGTGACCATGCAGACCAAATAGGCTATCCCGTGATGATAAAGGCCGTTCGTGGTGGCGGTGGTAAAGGTATGCGTATCGCGACCACAAAAGCGACTTTCGATGAACAGTTAGCTGCTGCAAGACGGGAGTCCCTGAAGGCATTTAATGATCAAAATATGCTCATCGAGAAGTATATTGAACACCCAAGACATGTGGAGGTGAGAATATTTCTGTGTTTTGACACCACCTTAGTTGGTTTTGTAGGATCTTCATAAAGATTCCATTTTCATATCGCCCAGATCCTAATTCAGCTTTTAAGCCTACTGAACTAATTATAACTTGTTAGGCTTCCAGCCAAACTAATTGTCTATATGGTCCAGAGGTGTGAACCACCAAATATCCAGTTTTTTGTCACTTAAAATCTATGCATAAATATCCATTTTATTTACTATATATCTGCCTCTATGTTTGTTTATCAAAGCGTTAGTGTTTGTTTTAGTTGATTGGACTATCAGACTAGTTAATTTTGTCTCAGGCTCGATCATATATTTCAATTACTAATAGTGTTAAAATTGTTTGATCTTGTTTTCGCAACTCGGTCATATTGGTAGGAAGACTTAGACGAACGCACCTTGTCCAAAGTCCATTGTATGCATAATCATTTTCAAAGTAGGATCGTGGACGTGGTACATTCCTAGACGTTTCGCCAGCGTCGTAGTCGGCATCGTCAATGTGTTATGCCAATCGTAGCACCATATTACAACTTGTCAAAGAGGCAAGTGAAGCCGACCCTTTGACCAAACGTGTGCTGAACATTTGTGGTATCTCCCATTCTGCCCTGGGCTATTTACATTTCCTATATCCTCCAATCACGCCTTCACTGTCACAATTTTTTACTTGCTGAATTAGATGTGGTACGGTGTACCCTTTTGAGCGGCTTTCATTAGAACCCTCCGCACTCCACCCATCTTCACTCTTGTGCTGGGAATGTTGATCAGAGTCCGCCATATTGTTACGCGGTCCTCCTTCCATAGGTCTTACCACAGTCTCTCTCTTGCCCCGTA